GATTCCATATATCCACATGTACGGGGCAAGGAATACTTTGCTGCAATTTATCTTTTTTATTTGTTGGCCAGGGGAAAAATAAATAGATGCTGACTGGAGTTTTGACGTATCTGCTGCTTTTATTTGTGCAGTGTTATCAGTGTAAAAATGAATGTTTATAGCCTGGAAAAAGTGGGTGGGAGACCTCTGACCTCAGCTAATTTCCAGAGTGGGGAATGATAAAGTGCTGGGAAGAMTAACCCTGCTGAGTCACCAAGGGGGTCATTCATGGCCTGGGCATCTTCCCCCACCAAAATGAATCACCTGAGGCTGCTTTATGGCTTTGGGGTGTCCCATTCCTGYCTTGAAATGAAATCTTGGACCTTGCAAGTGGAGATGTTTTGGGTTTGTGCCAGTGAAATGTGGAAAGTGCTGCTCAGGGTGTATGTGCGCATCTCGATTTCCTCCCGTGGGAGTGGCCACAGCAAACAGCCCTCAGTAATAGCTTGTTATTAAACAGATGGGGATATTGACCCTCTTCCATTTCCATTTTCCAAGTCAGGGAAAATGAAATTGCATTACTTTGGCTCGGATGAGTTCAGTGTATTAATAAAAAAATGTGCATGAAAATGAAGAATCCTTGAAAATCGCAAGTATTTAGGTAATTTATAAAATTTCAACCCTGGCTGCGCTATAGAGATTTTTCTTTTTTTTCCTCTTTTTTTGAGCACAGAACTGGAGAGTTTGCTCTGGAATAGCTTAATTTGTGTATAAAGTCTTGAAGGAAAATTGGGATTTTCCAGTATTATTAGGGAAACGACTGACAAGCAGTCTTACAAGCATGTCAATAGGGCTAATTGATTATCAGGGATGTTCTCACCTAATTGGCATAGGAAATTATTTGCTTAACAAGGCTTTAAGCATAATTAGATTGATACAAGTTTTAGTAGAGATGGAGATGTTGAATTTACAGAGATTCTTGATAAACAGTGATCCCAGGAGTCACCAACAAGAGGAAAAGCACTTCTTTTAATGGGAAATCAGCAGAATCTGTCAGAGCTCTTTTATAAACGAGTTAACTTGAAAAATTAATCTCAAACACCCCCTGAGTCTCTATTTATGATGTTTAYTTGCATTGCGAATGGGGTGAGTTGCAAGAGGGAGATTTTGGGAGATGGGAGCCTGTGTGTGCTTTGGCTCTGAATGTCCCCCTGGCTCTCCAGATATGGGGCAGCATGTGATTCTTGCCCTCATTCTCCCCACAGTTTTGCCTTTGAAATCATGGGGACCTCGTGTGTAAGGCCAAGGTTTTCCATTTGAGGGGCTGTCCCTGCCTGGGCAGATGGAGCTGTTGGAGACCAGGGGTGTGTCCCACAGCTGGATGGGCACAKCTGTTTGGGGACAGATGTGTGCTCCCCTTGCTTTGGTGATTGGTCTTGATTGCTGCCTGCCCTCTCCACTCCTGAATACTGCCCCAAGACTGCAGGGATGGAGGAGTTAACTCAGACAAAAATCAAAAATTTTAGGCCAAATCTCCCCAGAGAGCTTCACTTTAAAATTTGCAACTCCAGTTCTCCCTTCCTTTTTTTTTTTTTTTTCTCTGAAGCTGTTTGGAAAGGAATAATGTGTAACAGATACCTCCACTTCAGTATCTCACAAGTGCAGTGTGTGCTAATTAGGCATCCYGGAGCCTTTGGAAAATGCTGCCATTGTATTTGCAGATGGAATCTACCCTGCTCCCCCTTTTTGGACGAGCGAGCTGGTTATTCAGCTCTGAGAAGTTCACAGCCATTGGCGGATGATGCATCTTTAGAGTCAGGGTTGAGCGCGTGTGTGGGTTTGCTTTTTCTATTTTATTTCTCCTTTCCCCCTCCCTCCTKGTGCCCGTTGCTGAATTTGAATAATTAATGCCTGTTGTCTTGCTTCCTGTTTTCATTTCTGTATGTAATGCTAACCAGCCGTGGGCTGAATCATTCATAGGCTCTTTCTGCACCTCGGCAGCTGGAGATGTCATGGGAACAGTGATTGGGAGCGGTGCAGACGTTCTGCTGCTCCCCTAAATTCATTTCTGGAGCAGGAGCAGTAAGTACTGGGTCCATGCTCTGGGCCAAGCCCAGCTCTCTGGGCAGATGCTATCAGCTGCTTTCTCTGCCTGCAGCTCCTGTTACTGCTCAGGTGTCCGGGGTGTGCTGGGGAGGGTGGCTGCTCTGTTTTGTCCTTTCCCATCTGTTTTGGGCTTTTATGAATGTGTCTGTGAGGCTCGTGGAGAAGATGGAATAATTTCAGGCTCGCTGGTTGTGCCTCATGCAATTACACTGCATTTAGGAGTKACTTTTTGAAAAGTCATCTTGGATTTCTTCTCACTGTGCTTTTCGTGAGTCAGCTGATGGAGAGCAGCCCGGAATTTTGGGCTTCCACAGTGCCTGCCTGTGCAGGGAGAGGAACCAGGCTGGGAGCATCACTTGGTGCCTCACAGAGCTGTCTTTTCCCTCATCTGCATTTTTTGTCTCTTGGTTACTTACAGTGGATTCTGCTGCTCTGAAAACCTTCCAGCAGCGCCTTTTGATGGTTGTGYTGGGGGCAGTGTGCTTGGGTTTGTCCTGTTGTGTGGAAAATGCTTGTGTCCCATCTGAACTCTGCCAGGAGATTTTATCCAATGGCTTTGGATTCATCCTGAGAGGGATGTTTGGATSTGGAATAGGTTGATCAGGGATCCTGGGGACAGCCCTGACATGAGAACTCTCCATCGGTCGAACCTGCCCTGCCACAAGCAGGGACACCTTCCACTGTCCCAGGTGCTCCAAGCCCTTTCCAGCCTGGCCTTGGRCACTGCCAGGGATCCAGGGGCAGCCACAGCTKCTCTGGGCACCCTGWGCCAGGGCCWCCCCACCCTCACAGGGAGGAATTTCTCCCTAACATCAAATTGACACAATTCTTGTAAGCGATCAAATAAAATACCTGGTCAAACCTTTTGTAGATGGAGGTGAGCTSTCTGCCCTCATGCCTTGCATGAGTAAAGCAGGAAGAGGAGTAAATCAGGAGAGATGGAACTTCTCTGGAAGTTAATTCATGCAGGATTTCTTGGAGCAGCTGGAGCCTTCTAGGTTTTCAGGGTGGGAATAAGGGGTTGAGCAGGGGAGTTGTTAATAGGCTGTGACTGAATTTTACATCTTGCACAGATCCCCCAGTGTCTTGTACATCACTCCATGCCTGGAATCTTCAGGGCAGAGAGGATGGTTATGCCCAAGACCTTAAGACCTTGAAATAGCATCTAATTTTGCATGTCCTCAGTGTTTCTATCCCATTCTGACAATTATCCTGCCTGTGGTGAAGGCAGAGGGGGAGGCTCATTTCCTGGGGATGGTCTTGAGCTGAAAAGAGGAGGCAGCTTGAGCAGTGACTAATGCTGACTTTATAAACAGCGAGGGCAGAGATGAAGGGGGGCAGGGAGAGGGAGGTGACTGCGAGCCACAGGCCATGGAGGTGGCACGGAGGGCACGGGGGACAGCACACAGCTCTGGTGTCAGGCTGGCCGTGTCTGTGCCTCTGTCCTGCTTGTCACCCTGAGGGGATGGGCAGAGCCACGTGGGGAGCTGGGCTGGCCACACGCTGAGGTGTGACCGGTGTCCGGCTCATGTCCGTGCTCGGGTCAGCGCCCGAGAAGGCTCAGAGCTGCTCTGGGTGTCTGGGGACAGCAAGGCACAGGGGCTGGGGGCCCTGGGGACAGCAGGGTGACAGTCTGCTGTGTTTGGAGTCACAGCAACCTCCGGGATGCTGAGTCCTAGTTAGAGAGGCAGGCGACGCTGTCCTGGGCTGTCAGCGCGGCGCACGGAGTGGGAATGGACATGGACATGGACAGGAGCTGCCTGTATCCTTGCTGGACTCCACCACTGCACCTGCAGTGCCTTTGTGTATCAGGTGTATTGGGAAATATGGTCAGCCCTGCTTTTGGAGGCTTCTTTCCATGGGATGTGTCAATAAAGTGCTTTTAGGTGGCTGGTTTATCTCCCTGAGCCAGGCTTTGCTGATGCCACTGAGGATGTTGCTGYTCAGCTGTCACAGCTTTGCTCCAGACCTGAGCCCTAGCAGTCCCACGTGTAAGGAAGCAAAGCATTTCCCCTGGAGGGGGATTCATTGGATTCACTGCCCACACATCCTGAGCTCAGCTCTGCACTCCCTGGAAAGGTGGGCAAGCGCTTTGCGAGCTCAGCTGCTGTCAAGCTGCACTCCCAGCCCACTGATGATGACAGCAGCAGCGTGGGGGCTGTGGGTGCACACCTGAGCTCCAGGAAGCTGTGGGGAACCTGGGTGTGGGACCAGCACAGCATCCAGCTCTGCATCCCTGTGAGTGCTGGGCAGGTGTGTCAAGGGACAGGGTGATATCAGTGACATTGTGTATTTTAAGTGCACACACACTGTATTCCGTATTCTGTATTCTCTGTTCTTGGGGTTGTCCTGTGTGGGGCCAGAAGGGGGAAATGGATCCTTCTTGGATCCCTTCCAGCTCAGGATAGCTCATGATTCTTTGGTGCCCCTTCTGCAGGAGGCAYGGAAGTGTTCGTTCCTCACCTGGGAGGGTTTTGCAGGATCCAAAGGATGTTGGAGAGAAATTGCTTTAGCTTGGCTGGGTTTCAGCTTTGTGGAGGTCTCTGAATCGATTTTCAGGTTGCTCTTGTAGAGGCTCTGGCTCTTTACACCTCWGTCATTCATAAAACCCCAATCACCTGGGCTGCAGATCATCATCCTGCTTTTGTCCTCACGTGGCTTTCCCTACTGATMACTCCTACGAACACATTTGCTTTTGCTGGTGTGGGAGAAGCTTCACAAGGAAATAAAACCTGCAAACTAATTAAACTTCTTGGTCTTGTTGAGTGGGAGATGTAGGCTGGGAATAGATCTGATTATCATCCCTGCTCTCGGTAGCCAGAGGACATGGTTAATTATTAAATTGCTTGTTAATGTATTGAAATATGGCTGATTTTCATTTCCTCTTTTTTGTTGTTTTGTCTCGTTTGCCCCAGGGCACTCCCAGGAGCTGATGGATTTGTGGTAGCTGGCTCTGCAGGGGCTGGAAGGAGCATGGTTAAACACCAACCCCTGCAGTACTACGAGCCCCAGCTATGTCTGTCCTGTCTGACCGGGATCTACGGCTGCCGCTGGAAACGGTACCAGCGGTCACATGATGACACCACCAAGGTCAGTCGGTGACAGCAGCTGGCTCTCACCTCTTCTCTGGCATGTTGGGTTGAAGGTTWTTGGTGAAAGTATGAAATATTGGGKTTTTTTTCTCATKTATTGGCTTGGATGTTTGATGAGAACCACTGAGCCCGCAGCAGGAGGTTGTGCAATGTGTGGCTGATGCAGTGATGGGCACAGTGAGGTTGGTTGTGGTGCTGCAGGGATTGAATTTGCCCAAATCTGTCCATTCTGTGGTACTGGGGGACACTTCCCCTGTGTTTTTTTTTAATCCTTGCTCTGTATCATGCTGCACCCTTGGCTGGATCTGTAGGAGCTGTGTTTCTACAGCATCTCTGCCTTCATGGTGGGGTTTAGTGACCCATGGTGATGTTTGGCCCCAGAAGGGACCTTGTGATCTCGGAGGTCTTTTCCAAYCAAATATGTTGGTGTGTAGGGGAACAGGGTGCCCAGAGAAGCTGTGGCTGCCCCTGGATCCCTGGCAGTGCCCAAGGCCAGGCTGGACATTGGGGCTKGGAGCASCCTGGGACAGTGGAAGGTGYCCCTGCCATGGCAGGGATGGGTTGGTTTGATCTCTAAGGTCCCTTCCAACCCAAACCCTTCTGGGATTCAATGAAAGACAGCAGAAGAAGCTGGGCATGAGTGGGAAAGCTGTTGGAGATGGCTCTCCCCTCTCCTGCATAAATAGGGATTTTAAGAGCTCTGGCAGAGGGAGTCCAGGCAGTGAGGCTCAASTCCCCTCTTGCTCTGGGCTGTGACATGAGGTCTTGTGAGACTCTGGTGTGCTGGTAGGAGAAGTGTGAAAATATTGCTGTTAAAACCATCCTGTTRCACCTTCTGGGTGAGGATTCTCTATTACTATTCTCCTGTACTCCCTTGTTGCCTGGGATGTTTTTTTAAGTGTGCTTACTAGTTAAATATTGGGTTTTTTTTTTCCTTTAAATCTTGTTTCATGTGGAAGCAYACCCAGGAGACCCTTTGGTTGCCTTTGGAATGCTTAATTTTGCTCTGCTATCACTTGGCTGCTCTGTTCTGTTTTTTAAGTCTATAAGCAGGGATCTTCCTGGCTCTGGAATGCTTTCCCTCTTGGAGAAGGAGCTGTGAAGGAGCAAACACGGCTGTGAGGCAGATCCTGTGCCAGAAAAGCTCCTGGTTGTGAATTGCAGCTTTTGTTGGTGCTGCAGMTTGGCCGGGAGCTCCCCTGTGAATGGGAAAGTCATGGCTTGAGTTTGTGCAGCCTAAAACAARTTTCCTTTTGCAAAGTAGGAATGTTGGTGCTGTTTTCCCTTTCCTTTCAGCCTGGCCAGCTTGGTGTGAGTGACCACTTTTGAGCCAGCAGAACATTACACTTCTTAGCTAAAAATKTACAGAAAAATTGCCATGAATCCTTCAGTGAAATCTGGCTCTGCTTGTTTGACCAAAAAATATCAGCAGCAGCTTTCCAATTCTACTTGGAAATTCTACTTGTTTTTTTTTTTTTTCTAGTGCTGGAAAGGAATTAGTTGTGTTTAAAGGCAGCTGATGCAGGCTTAAAAACATGTCCAGTCTGAGCTGGTATTTTTAATCCCTGCGAGACCTCAACTTCCATTTTGGTAGGAGAGGAAWGGAGATAACAGCAGGAGTAGGAGAAGAAAACCTAAAATGAGCTGCAAGACAGAGAAACTGTGGCTGCCCCTGGATCCCTGGAAGTTTTCCAGGTGAGGTTGGATGGGGATYGGAGCCACCTGGSATAGTRGAAGGTGTCCACGCCCATGGTGGAATGAGATGAACTTCAACGTCCCTTCCAACCCAAATCATTCCAGGATTTTTTTTGKTTTTTAATTTTCTTATTTTTTAGATTGATCTATAAAGGATGAACAAGGAAAACACCACAATTTAGGAGCCTTTTTACTTTACACAAACATAYTGATGATAATATCTCTTGTATTGCCTCATATCTGACCTTGCATTATCTCAGCCTCTGTAGACCCAGCAATTGCAGTAGAATCTATATTTTCCTCACCATGGTTTCTATAAAAATGGCTGTGGCACACCAGAGAYGTTCCCAAGTCTTGCAAAAATCCAGAGTTTCCTGGAAAAGAAAAAATAGGACATGTTCAGTTATTTTCCTGCTTCTTATCTATCRGCAAACAAGTCATGTTTTCAGAAAGGAATATTTTAGTGCAGACCACAGCGTGGTTATCTGCTTTCCTGTTAAACCATCAAACTCCCAGAATAAAAGGCTTTCACCCAAATTTGTGTCACGACCCAACCTTGCCTCCATGATATCCTCAGCTGATGCCTGTGAATGTTTGTTGTCTGAACTGTGATGCACCTCAATAGCCAGAATTTTAATGATTTCTCTTCTTTTCCTTCAAATGTATGCACATCAAGCTTTCCACTCCGTGTTAAAAATTTGCATGAAAATGAGAATTTTAATTGGACACCTGAGTTCTAGTTTTTCTGAGAGGCYGCTTGATGGAATTGTCATTATCCTTTGCTTTTCTCTAACCTTTGAGAATGGAAGAGGGAGGCTGGAGGCACACAACCAACATACTCTGATCTCCTTTTTAAATGTTGAACATTTGCAAAATTCCTTTTTTCTATTGTGGGCCCTCTATTGCTGWAATGGCGAGACTCCCTTTCACTTTTTTTTTTAAATTTTTCATTCTTTTTTAAATTAAAGACATACAGAGGAGGAGAAATGGTCTTGCTGAGATTCAGATCATTATAATCTCTGGTGTGAGGAAGGATTTTCTGATCTAACCACAGCTTGTTCATCACATATCCCACCAAGGAAGATGTWACGAAGTCAGTGTGTGGAAGCATTTCCTTTATTGCTTCCAAACCTCAGCTGTGTGTACACAGCAAATATCAGACCTAGGAAAGCATCCTGGGTGAGAGAGGGATGGGTAAGAGAGATCCTGCAAAGGAAACGGCCATGATAATTTTTTTTATCTCTCCAGTAAAAAGAAGAAGCTGCTTTTATTGACTGGCTGGGCTGAGCTATCAAAGCTTGGTCTTTCTTTACACCCCAGATCTCCTAATCCTCTTCCTAACTGCAAATTATCCAAACTGTGGATATGGGAGGGGACATGAGGGGGAATGTCCAATAAAGCCTCTCCCTGCCCTTGGCTGCTGCTGCTTCTGTAGCTGCAAATCTGTAAATGAGATCTCAAACCCTCTCTGTGAACTGGGCACTCACTGTTAGGATTTGTGCCCTTCAAGTGAGATGTGTGTGATGCAAGATAGTCCATTTGGTGAAGGGCACTCCAGCTGAGGCTTCTGATGGCTTTTGGGGTCCTTTTGTACAGAGATAAATGAGGAACTGTGATCCATCAGCATAATGAATTGCAGTGCTGTGTCTGGGCTGCGTGTTTTAATTCACTCTCTGGTGAAATGCTCTTGTAATTCCCGCTTGGCCAGAGCTGGGAAATGACCTGAACAGATGATCTAAGCCACGGGCTTTGGAGCTGGGACTTTGTCACTGCTAATTCCCCAATGGCCAAAGGTCACTGGTCACAGAAATTGCTTGCTTTGCTGAAATCTACTATTAGAGGATGGGTTAATTTGCCTTTTTCTGTGTGTTTTTCAATTCAATTTGTGGGTTTTTTAGGCTGCAGGGCATAGGAGCTTTTGAGGGAAAGGAGCTCTTTCAAGGTTGTTTGATTTGAGGCTGGGCACTGAAGCATTGGATGCTGCAGGTTGGATGTGATTCAGAGCTCAGTCCCCATGAATGGATGTGTCCAGTCATGTTGGCTTGATGGGCTAAGTGCAGGAAAATCCTGTCATTCCATCAAATATCCCTGTGTTTTTCCCTTATTGTTCCTGAAGGTGCCCCACTCAGTCGAGGGGGTGGGACTAGGTGACCTTTCAAGGTCCCTTCCAACCCAAACTCTTCTGATTCTGTGAATCTGTTATTTTTCCCCTTGATGCTTGGAAAGGAAAGCAAAACCAGGCTGTGTTCAGGGCTTTACACACGAACTAAAAATCCTTTAGAACGCCTCTGAGCCCTTCATTTTCGAGGGAGGCTGTGAGGTGGGTGAGTGTCCAGGGAAGATGTTTGGGATGCTCACAGATCCATGTGTCAGCTGAGCCAGGCAGGAATTGCATTTGCTGTGCGTGGTGCAGTCACACCAGACTGGTTTGAACTGGAAATAGCATATTTTGGCCTTCATGAAGGAGCAAGACCTCTGTTAGGCAGGGCAGGATCCTGTGCAGGACTGGCCAGGAGCAGAGAGGTGTTTCAGCCTCAGGAACTGGGATTTACCTGCCAGGACCTTGCAGATCTATTCTAGCTGAGGGGCTGGACATGCAAAAGAAGAGGGGTTTTTTTTTCACTAAAAAAAAAATGAAAAAGAGCCTCTGATCAAGCAAAATCCCTGTATTGATTGGCTACATTTGCATCATAAAATGGAATTCACCAGCAATGGTATTTGGTGGATCGTGAGCTGATGGACAGTGATTATAAGGACATTGTTTACCCTTGATTTCCTCACCCTCACACTGTTCCTAGAAAGGTTTGGGTGAACCTGCTTGTTGTGAGGTTCTCTATTTCAGCAGYGCTGGTTTGAAGGATGGGAAACCCCAAATCCTTGAAACCTCAGGAAAGCCACAGTGTTGGAGCCTAATCCTGTGGTGCAGCCTCAGTACTGTCAGGGTGAGGGTGTTTGACTAATGCTGAATTTCTGCCTCAGTCCTGATGTAGGCAAAATGCCTATGGGGGAGAGTCTGCAAAACCCATTGACTGTGGGGCCTGGCTTGGGATTATGGGCTCAGACTGGGTGATTAATGTGCCCTGGGATTTATAAAGCTTTCGAGGTGTCAAAGGTTTTTATGCCGAGCATCTGCAAAATGTGGGGTTGGGCTCSAATGGAGCTGTGTCTGGAGAAAGGGGAAGAAGAGAGGGGACAGAGGGATTTTTGAGCCATGGTTCTCTCTGTTTAGCTGGCACGTCTATCCCTGGGTTTTTCCAGGGATTTCTTTCAGGACAGCTGGGTCCAGCACTTCTCCTCCAGTCC